CACATTTCCGCAAATCTGACTTTCTATAACTTAAAAATCCATCTTTTCCAACAGTCTTCCTAACATCTTTTCTAACAGTTCTGAGAAATAAAGTCATAATTGCAAAATATAAACTAGCAATTGCGAGAAATAGTCACAATTAACTTTTTTCTTTTTTATTCCGTGGCAGAAACAAGCTTCCATAGAAACCTGTTCACACCCAGAAATATTAATGTTTTACTGTTTTACAAGTTATTTTTTGGAATGAGCATTTTCTTAAATTATAAGATAGCAAATAAACTATCTATAACCCAAAATGACCAGTATGCTGTCACATATTATTTGTAATTCTCGTTCTGAACTTATTAAATGTCTAACTAAAATTGGCGTCATTCATAAAAAGTGTAAATATTTCATGAATCCATTCTTACATAAAAGTAGTGCATTCAATGCAAGAAATCGGTGACACTTTGTAAGGTCTCATTTGTTAACATTAGTTAATGCATTACTTACGGGTGTGCGATATCACGATTTTAGATCGGGTTGAATGTTGTATATTATATATAATATGTTATATATACGATACTAGCTGCGCTTTCCCTGTCTCTCATCTCTCCGACAGCGAGTGACACAACCCGTCTCCTCTCACTCATTTCTTTTACTCTGGATGAATATTGTTGCTGTTACAGGGCTTGAATTGTGCAGGATTGCGCATATATTACGCATTATTGTACTCATTCTCGCAGATTTTGTGCTCACGCCCAAAGTGCGGCACATAAAGCCTCCTCTCAGTACTAAATTGACTTCTGTTTCACTGCTTATTTTGCTTATACAGTCAAATACACACAAAATAATGTCAAAATGTTGGTCTTGGCGAGTATTAACGTGAGGCAAGGCAAGTTTATTTATATAGCACATTTCATACACTGTCAATTCAAAGTGCTTTACACAGAAAGGAATTAAAATAATCACAAAATAAAAGCAAGGAAAATGAAACCATTATAAAAGGAATTAAAAGAGATAAATGATACAGTTATAAAATGAATTAAACGAGTAAAAAGATGATGGATAAACTTCTCATCTGGCAAAACACCGGTGTATCATATTTTTCACAACTCCCAGTTTTACTGTGAGATTTTCCCATGTGTATTGTACAGTGTCTGTGGCGATCTTTTGGCGCGCCTAAGAAATCTATTGGACGTCTCCGATGGACCCGATTTTCCCCTAAAACCGGACAGGAGGAGCTCTAGGACTGACTCACGGTGTAACCTCGGGTTCACTGCCCCATCAGTCCGCACCCCAAAAACCCATTTATCCGGAAGCTCTAGGAATGGAATCGATCCAGTCGGCATCCCACTGAAACTCCAGTTTAATTACACGTCAAACTCAATACTCCACCACAGACCCAGGCCATCAACAAGGTTTCATCTCTCTTACCCAACTCTCAATGCCATTTGAGTTCAGTTTAGAATAAAAAGGAGGATGTGAAATAAAGTACAATCAGTCGGACGTACAGTGGCACAGTGCTCATTCAGTAAATGCACAGCTAAAGAGATGTGTTTTGAGTCTGGATTTGAATGTGACTACTGTAGGAGCACATCTGATCTCCTCTGGAAGCTGGTTCAAGCATAATAGCTAAAAGCAGACTCGCCATGCTTAGAGTGAACCCTTGGTATTTCTAGCTGATGTGATCCTAATGATCTGAGTGATCTGTTAGGTTTATATTCAGTGAGCATATCTGCAATATATTGAGGTCCTAGCCCATTGAATGATTTATATACCAGTAACAATACTTTAAAATCAATCCTAAATGTAACTGGGAGCCAGTGTAAAGACCTGAGGACTGGTGTGATATGTTCATATGTTCTGGTTTCTGTATGAGCTGCAACTGCCTTATGGTCTTTTTAGGAAGGCCAGTGAGGAGTCCATTACAATAATCCACCCTGCTGGTGATAAAAGCATGCACAAGTTTATCTAAGTCTTGACTGGAAACAAAGCATCTAATTCTTGCAATATTTTTCAGATGATAGTATGCTGATTTAGTTATTGCTTTGACATGGCTACTGAAACTAAGGTCTGACTCTAGAGACACACCAAGATTCCTGACTTGATTTTTAGTTGTTAGACCCCTAGGGTCGAGGTATGCGTTCACCTTGAGAACTTCATCTTTGTTTCCAAACGCAATGACTTCAGTTTTGTCTTTGTTTAACTGAAGAAGGTTTTGGCACATCCAACTGTTTACTTCATCAATGCATTGGCACAGGGAGTCAATGGGGCTGTAGTCGTTAGGCGATAGGGCTGAGTAGAGCTGTGTGTCGTCTGCAGAGCTGTGGTAAGAGATTTGGTTCTTTCTCATTATTTGAAAAGGCATAAACGCAGTCAATTTTATTTTAAATGAACAAACAGTTGGATCCGTCAGGTCTTAAAGTGACAGCAGCCTAATAAACATGCTGGCAAATTATGAGATGATATTACAAATATGGCAGGTTTTCCTCGTGTTATCGATGCCAAAATTGTGGCCAGAGAAAATGTTGAGTGGCTAAAAAAAAAAACCACGGCATAGACTTATTTCTATGAATTGTATGTATTCTTATTAAAGCTACTAAAGTTATTCAGTGAAGAGTCAGTGAAGTCATTTTTCTCTTATTTTGGATTAACATTAATGACAAGCAACAGCAGATATATTAGGCTATATTAAACATGTGATGAGAGCAACAATTTAATAAATGCTGTAAAAGTATAGTTCATTCTTAGTTCATGTTAACTAATATAGTGGGGTGATATAATGGTACATGTACTTTTACAAGTTGATTGTACTGAAATGTGTGTTGGCAGTGTCTGTACACAACCATCATATAATGATAAAAATCCATCCAGTGTTTTTGTTTTAATCTCCTTATATGTTTTCCCCTGCCTCAAATCAAGCCGTTCGAGCCTGTGACGTCACAAGCTCGCACGCCCCTCCCACGATTGTTGATTGACAGGAGCGTTTCAACACAGACCCGCCCTCGCTCATGAGGGAGCTGTCAATCATAGTCTGCGCGGCGCGGACCGGTGTGGTGCCGAATTCTGAACCCCGCCAAATTATTACCCCCCTAGTATGGTAGGTTTAGGATTAGTTGTGGGGGAGGGGTTAGGATTAGGGGTGGGGTTAGGATTAGGCAATCAGGTACTGATTTCAACGAGGGGGGTAATAATTTGGCAGGGAGTCGAAATTCGGCACAACACCGGCGCGGTCATTGTTGATATGCTGGAGCACTGTCTATGAGCAGAATGGCGTCTAAGCGATTGTGGTGTTCTGTTCTTGGGTGTAATAACGAACACAGCAGTCATTTTAATGTTCCTAAATCCGAACCGCTGAAGACGCAGTGGCTGTGTTTGTTTTCGAAGGGAATATTCCCCACGAGCAACGTCAATGCTCTCATGTTTGCGCGAATCATTTCTCACCAGACTGCTTTATAAACGAGGATCAGTATAAAGCTGGATTTGCTAAGAAGCTGCTCATGAAAAATGGATCGGTACCAGATATTTGTGTTCCTGCTGAATCTCCAGAAGAACGGAAGTGAGTGTAACGTTTTATTAAACTTTATATTAATATATTAATCTTTGCAAATCGCTAGCTGCACTGCACGCTTCACAATGAATGCGGCTAAGGTTTACACTCAGGGTACATTACGGCACGTTTTCTATGTATGATGTTCTCAATATAATTCATAATCCCACGTTTATACTGAACAACGCGTTATTGTTATTGTGTTACAAACGGTGTACGCACAGAACAGAGAGGCGGGGTGAGCAAAGCTCATGATCATTTAAAGTCATATGCACTGAAACGGCGTGCTGAAAACAGAGCTGTTTTTGACCAGGTAAAATAAGTGTTTTCTTACAATACTAATGAGAATTTGTAATTAAAGTAAATTACAAACTTTTAATTTAGACCCTAAAGATTCATATTAGCTTGTACAAAAATGGCATTATATGACCCCTTTAACAAATGAAACATTATTGTAAAGTGTTACCCAAAAAAACATTCTGATGTGCATTCAATTTCAGTTCAATGGTTTTACAAGCATTTTACGGAAACAAGTTTTTCCGGGATTCACAGATAAGGTGCATTGTGCAATGCTTCTGTCACTTTACACACATAATAATAATAAAATAATAATAATACATTCAATTTTTATAGCGCTTTTCTAGACACTCAAAGACGCTTTACAGGTAATTCAAGAGAGGTGGCGTAAAAGGATGAGGAATTAGAAAAGTCTGTTAATGGGAAAAAGCAAGTTCAAAGAGGTGAGTTTTGAGGGCCTGTTTGAAGGATGTTGAGGTGCTTGACTGTTTGATGTGCAGGGGAGGGCGTTCCAGAGAGTTGGTGCAGCAGCTGAGAAGGCACATAGTTGATGTCCTTTTTTAGAGTTAAATTCATTTCTTTAGCTCTAAAAGTATTAAGTTGATCTGTTTT